GGGAGGGGCTGGGCTCAGGGTCCGCCCATCGAGCCCCTTTCACAGACGCGCGCTCCAGCCCCGACTCGGCGCAGACTGACGCCCCGGGGGCCGCCGCCGGAGCCGCGGGAGAAAAGCGGCCTCGGAAAGACCAACTCACCTCCCATCCGAGCTCGACAAAGGCTACGAACTTCTCGGGCCAGCTCGGCGTCGCGCATGCGTAAGAAGGAGGGGGCGAGGCCGGCGAGCGGCACTCAGCCCCAGAACTACGATTCCCAGAAGCCTCTGGGCGCGGCCCGACGCCGTTTCTCAGGAGGTGGGAGCACGCGCGGCGCCGTTGGGGGATGCGAAGGCGAGGCCGGCTCCTTCCTTCTCGCGAGAGCGTGGGGCGCCGGCCACGGCCGGGTGCTGGGCGCCGCCGAGTCGGTCCTAAGCTGGTCTAACGTACGCTTTCTGGGAGGAGTCTATAGAGGCCTTTCCCGCGCTTTTCCCTCCCCAAACTCCTTGGCCTTCAAGCCACGTGGAAGGTGTGTTTTTGGGAAGAGCGGGTTGTCTGCGCAGGTCGACCTTCGCGGGTCCATCCGTGGGCTACTTGTGATACTGAACATTCACGAGTGAGGTAGGTTGAAAGTGCTCAACCGGTTTCGACAAATCTGAGCAACTGGCTCTTTTAAGCAGGATAAACATTAAGTTTATTGAAAGAAGTTCTCTCAGAGGAGCATGGTTAGTGCGTCACCCCGTTAGTGCACTGACTGACCTGCCCCTCAAACTCAGAATGTTGCAGCTGCCCCTTCACAGACGCAGCTGCGAAGGCAAGAATGAGAACACCCTCCACTCTGCCTGTCACCAGGCCCTGCTTATTATTCTTAAATAATCCTCCGATCCGCCCCTTTCTCTTCCCACCAGCGTGGCCGTGGTTCTGCCACCTCCGTTTCAGCAGGGTGACAGCCGGCCGCCCACCCGCTTCTCTAACTCCAGTTGCCCTTCTCGCCACGCTGTCTGGCCAGTGGTCGTTCTAAAGCAAGAGTATAATGCTACTCTACTGCTTAAAACTTGTCAATGGCTGAGAGAACTTTTGGCAATTCTTTCTCTGTTCCTTAAATGTAATTGTCCGGGAAGATAGAGCCCTTATCTCTCAGTCTGTGGGGAAGAGTAGAAGTGTAACTTGCATGGTTGACTTGCACCAAGTTGTAAAACTACCTGCTGTAATGAGGCAAGGAGAAGGTTTATTTTTCCTTAGGGGCATCGGGTCCGGAGATTCCAAGATGGTGGCCGACTGAGTGGAAGCTACACTGACACTCTCCTGGGACCAAACTGGAATTACAACTAAGATACAGAAAAGCCATTCTGAATAATCATCTGCAACTGAAGAGGGGCTGGAGAGCACCCTCATAACCAAGGATCTAAAGTGGAGACAGCAGAGACTGGTAGGAAGTGCAGAGGCGCGAGGGTTGCCTGGGCTCTCACAGGCAGCAGCTGAAGGTTCCTCTTAAAAGGCCAGCACACAAAGTTTTGTGTGCAGCCACTCACCTTGGGCTCCAGGGAAGGGAGGGCAGACTGGACTAGAGCACTGTGAAGAAAATGCAGGAGGGCTGGCTGGGGGAATAGAGCTCAGAGGGCAGCCATCTGGATCCCTGTGCTGAGTCATTCCCTCATACTGCAGAGGACATCTCTCTCAGGCAGACTTTACCTTCCAAGCAGCTTTTGCCTAGGGGGTGGGGGTGGGAGGAGGGAGGGAAGCAATTGCACCACCCTGATGGAAAATCTCTCATCCCACTCTGTGGAGTTTCTACAGCCTAAGGATCATTAAGAGACTGAATAACAGCCTCTAGGTGCTTTGAGTCTTTGCCTGGTTTGCTTCTGGACCCATGGATTGGAAAAGCAGACCTTGGAGCACCTCTTGGTCCTGTCCAAACACACCCAGCCCCAGCAGAGGGAATCACAAGCTGTGGAGTGTGAAAGGCCAGTCACAAACAGTGTCTTGCCTGCACCAGAGGTTGTCCAAAAGACTGGGAGTCCTGGCAGATCTACCTAACACATAGGAACAAATCCAAACAGGCAGCCAAAAGGGGGAGACAAAAAAACCCAACAAGCCCCAAATGAAAGAAGAAAAGAATTCTTCAGAAGAAGAGCTAAATGAAATGGAGGTAAGCAATCTATCAGGTATAGAGTTAAGAATACTGCTCATAAGGATGCTCAGCAGCATGAGAAAAGAAATGGAAACTATGAAAGAAATTAAGAATGACAGTAGAAATTATAAAACAACAACATTGGAAGGAATAAATAACAGATTAGTGGAAGCTGAGGATTGAATCAGTGAATTAGAAGATGGTAGAAGAAAATAATCAGAGAACCAAAAGGAAAAAACAATTAAAAAACAAGAGGATAGTTTAAGGGAGCTGTGGGACAACATAAAAATGTAACAATATTTGCATCATAGGAGTACCAGAAGATCTAGAAAGTTAGCAAGGGTTAGAGAACTTGTTTGAAGAAATAGTGGCAGAAAACTTCCCTAACCTGGTCAAGGAAAATGTCACACAAATTCAGGAGGCACAGAGAGTCCCAAGCAAGAAGAACCCAAAGAGGCCCACATCCAGGCACATCATAATTGAAATGCCAAAAATTTAAGACAGAGAGAATCTTAAAGGCAGCAAGAGAAAAGCAATCTGTTACCTACAGAGGAGCTCCCATAAGACCATCAGCTGATTTCTCATCAGAAACTGCAGACCAAAGGGGAATGGCATGAAGTATTCAAAGAAATGCAAAACAAGGATCTGAAACCAAGACTACGCTATCCAGCAAGGCTATCATTCAAAATAGATGGTGAAATAAAGAGCTTCCCAGACAAAAAAGGCTAAAGGAGTCTATCACCACCAAACCAGCATTGCAAGAAATGTTAAAGACACTGCTTTAATAAGAAATTGAAATAGCCCAGCCGGGCGTAGCTCAGCGGTTAAGCGTCGACCTAGGATCCAGGCGATCAGGGTTCGATTCCCGGTCAGGGCACATTCCCAGGTTGTGGGCTCGATCAATGACTCATCATTGATGTTTCTATCTCTCTCTCTCCCTCTCCTTTCCTCTCTCTGAAATCAATAAAAATATATTAAAAAAAAAAATTGAAATAGGAGAAACGTAGGCATAAAGAAATAAATGGCAATAAATACCTATCAATAATAACCTTAAATATAAATGTATTAAATGTTCCAATCAAAGGACATAGAGTAGCTGAATGGATAAGAAAACAAGATCCAAATATATGCTGTCTACAAGAGACCCACCTCAGAACAAAAGACTCACACAGGCTGAAAACAAAAACAAAACCAAAAAACTTCTGGAGGACTTTAAAGGAGAGATTGACAGCAATACAGTCATAGTAGGGGACTTTAACACCCCCACTGACTACTGGATAGATCTTCCAGACATAAAATCAACAAGGAAACTGTAACTGTAAATGATGCACTAGATCAGATGGATTTAATTGACATTTACAGAACATTTCACCCCCAAGCTGCAGAATATGCATTCTCCTCATGTGCACATGGGACAATCTTTTTTTTTTTTTTCCAAAATATATCTTTATTGATTTTAGAGAGAGGAAAGGAGAAGGAGAGAGAGAGATAGAAACATCAATGATGAGAGAGTCATTGATCGGCT